CTAGGTTCATAAGTTAATGTTGCGTTCCGGCCGACGATTAGTAAGTGATCTTCGCCGCCGCGGCCGCGCAGCACGAGGCCATCATGTGCCGCTGCGCCGTTGGCATGTAGATGTAGACCGCGTCACGGTCCTGGTTGTCGTCGCGGACTCGGAGGAGCTCGATGTACGACCCGCAGAACCGGATGTTCGCCAGGTTCTCCTCCTCGCCCCAGACCGCGAGACTAGGGTTCATCTTGTACCAACCGGCCACCGCGCGCGACTCAACAATACTTAAATATCCGTAAAATCGCTTCACATATACCGCATCGCAAACCATATCCTCCCAGCCAAATTTTTTGGGAACGGAAAAATTCACCGCTGCGAAGCGTGTCGCGGCGGGAGGGGGTTCTGCCTAGCGGACGGGGGGGGCGCGCGTCCGACACAGAACCCCCATGACAACCCCGCCGCGCCCGCACCGCGCATCCCGCGCGACTGCCATTCACACGCCCGGTCCCCGCTGTCCGCGGCGCCGGGCGCCGGCGCGTGAAGGGCAGCCGCTGCGGCACCCCATCTGAGCGAGCGGCCACCCCCCAATCCCGCCGCCCCGCCGCTCCCCCACCGGCGACCCGACGCGCCGCCCACCGTCCCCTTCCCCTTCCTCGAGCCCGGGTCGCTTGCGACCAGCTCCCCCAAACAAAATTTTTTTTTCTTCCGGAACGATCAAGTTCGACTCGCGCGTCCGCGCGCGATCGACTTTTCAAAACAACAAAAATCCAATGTGAGCTGCACGGAACTAGATCCGACAATAGCCGGTCGGGTCGACTTATGTGTTCTACCGACCGAAAAGAACCAGCTGGCGAACGGTCCCTTGCCAAGGGCGTGCAGTGCGGATCCAGCGTCCCCAGCGAAACCGAAACAACACTCGCCGCACCCCTGCAGGTCGAAGCGTATACACCTGCCGCAGGGATCAACAGACCTTACCCCAACGCGCGCAGGATGGCAGCCTCTCTGGTGGCACCAGGACTAGGGACGGGTGATGCTCAGGTGTGATGCCCAGGTGTGTTTGGTGTGATGCCCAGTGTGACCCTC